TGTCGGTTCGTTGAGGCTGGGCACGGTGGCCGCGGGGCTGAGCGTGGGGAGTGCGGGCCGGGGCCTGATGGCCGCGTCCCTGACGCCTGGGGAGCGTTGAGCCTTTCGGGGGTGGGGTTTACAGGCTGTGGCCCAGCACTCGCAGGTGGATGAGAGTAATGCCCGACAGAGGCAGTTAGTGTGGTTTCACTTGCATGTTTCTTAGTATAACCCGAATGTCAGTTGTTTTTTGAAGGTTCCTTCATCCTCCCAGACTTCTTTAGAGGACCTTATTTTCTTCAGAAGTGCTTGTTCATGTACAAGCTACCCCGATCTCTGTTTTGCTCCCTCTGCATTTTTGCCTGTTCTGTGAGAAAATGATGGACTTTTTTTTTTCTTTCTTACAAGTTCCTTTGCACAGAACAATGGATGATGAGGGGAAAAACTATGTTTCTGCAGAAGTATCTGATACATTGGAATCAGTTTCTTTTCTGAACGTAGCGGGTAAACCTTCACCTATGGAGTCAACAGTACTGCCTAATACAGAGGAGCAGGAGGTGTGGACTGTTTTTGTAATAGGTCTTCTGATTATACTTTTTTTTTTAAGTTTTAATTCTGGCAAATACTTCTTTGGTAAGACCTGCTGTATTCCTCTGCCCCCAAGATGCGTTTGATTCTTCTGCTTACTTCTCGTTGTTCACAAATAGGTCATAGCCAGTAGCAAATGCAGATGGTCAATGCTACGTGATGTGTTGTGCTAAGCTTTTGAGAAGGAAGTAAAGGACTTCAGTAATTGCACTTTGAATGTAATGCGACTGTACCATTCTTTTTAGTAAGCTAAAAAAAGGCTATAGATCCTTGTTGAAAGCTTGTGAGGTGCTTGGAAATAAAAAAACTATAATGCTGTGCTGCAGTACACTTTTGAAGATAGTATAGCCATCTCTGCTTTTTTAGAATGGTAGGTTTCCTGATTGACTTCCCTCAGGTGACTTAAATGTGTATGATTAGTGGAGTGCTGGTCATGGGAGGGCTGTGGAGACCTCTGGTAAATCCATCTGCTGAATGAACAAGTTGCCAAAGTAGGGGCTTTGAAGCTCTGTGAGAAAGGAAGGAATGCTGGGATCCCTCTAAAAATCTCCCTGCTATTTCTGCTTCACCTAGATGGGGAGACCTCTGTATAATGGTACGGGATGGAAAAGTCCACCTGAGCAACTGAGAACTGTTTCATGGCAGTTACTGTGAGGAAGATGAGGGGCTAGTGCCTGGATGGTGGTAATGAAGTGGTCTCTTGAGGCTAAGAATGTGTCAATCTATTAACTGAACATGCTCCGTACAAAATGGAAGTGCAGTACTGCAGAGCAGCTGTTAGAAAATACAGCTTGAATTCAATACAGAGGGAGACCAGAAGGTGGAAGCAGTGCAGTTTACACCTCCAATAGTGTGCTCTTTTAAAATCAAAATCTTGGCTTTGTCATAAAAGAACACTAAGGGGGGGGAGGCAACAAAAAAGGGTTTACTTAAGGACTTTAGGAGGTAAAGAAGCAAATGAAAGCTTAGCTTCACAAGGAAGGAGAAAGTGAGGCAGTAAGATAAAATAGGAAATACTGCATCAGAGATGTATGCTGATATGATTTGGGGGTGTTCCGTTTAGAAAGTGGCCATTATAACTGTGTATTTTTTTTTTTATGAATAGGCATATCAACCTCTGAAAGTCTTCTTGAGAGTGAAGCCCTTTTCTATAGCAGAGTTTGAAAGCCATGAATCTCAGGTTAGTTGGAGAATTAAGAAACAAGTTTTTCTTCTCCCCCAAAGAACACCTAGTGTTGTAAGCCAGGACTGTCTTTTATAAAAGCCATGTACTGCTTCCAAATAGAATTAGTGGACACCTGGATAAATGTGATTTTTTTTTTCCTCACAATTTTTACTAATTTGCATGGTACGGACATGCACACCTGTAGCTCTGCAAAATTCCACTGGGTACATTATTTAGAAGTTGGTGTCACTCTTGACTCTATACAGTGCTCAGAAATGGAAGAGTTTCATGGAAGAGATTATGCAATTCTAGGAGTAATTCGGGTATCTGACCCTTGAGTTTCTTTAGAATGCCTGAATAGTCTGCTACCTCGTCCTGGTGACTTGCTGCTAATCCTGTCAAATTTTTCTATAAGCTCTACAGTTTATACTGTCAGATTCAGATGCTTCAGTGTTTTACACACACATATGTGTGCACATGCAAACACACAGAGATACTCCCCCCCATCCATTGTGAATACTGATGCAAAGAATTCATTTAGCTGTTCTTGGAGGACAAAATCTCCGCAGCGTATCTGTCAGCCCTCATGTTTGCAGGGTCTTACAGGCTCTCTGATGGACCTCTTGTTCCTGACCTGTTTGGAGAAGGATTTAATAT